ACTCATTGTTTGAGAAGGTTTTCCTTCTCCCCTGTAGTTTTGATGGCATGCTTGGTCCAGGCAGCCCCAAACAGCTTCAGCCATCAAGAGTCCAAAGAGTACTCCTCTGATGAGTACTTGAGGTTACCCTTTTTCAGCATCAGGGTCTTCCCCTTGTTGCTGTTCATCATAGGACTTGTGGCCTTTTGTTCTTCTACAGTTACTGAGTTTCCTGCCCATTCACTTGTGCTACTTGGGACTTTTTCTGTTGGGGATGGCCTGCATAGGTCAGATTTTGTAGAGTTCCACAAACTCTGTCAGTAACTAAAATTGTCTTCAGCATCAGGAATTTCCTCAATGCTTACCTTGTAAGGGGACTCTCTGTCCCCTGTTTGGCCTGCTTGATCCTTGTGGGTGATTGAGCAGTAGGCAGTACTTTCAAAGGCTTTCAGCACATAACTTCTCCCAGGGTTGGAGATCAGTTCTGACTGCACTGGGTTATTGTAAGGGGCACATAAAGACCCTGACACAACTATGCCCTCTCCTCTGCAGTGTCCATGGTTTTCTACCTGTATAGAAGATGATGATATTGTCACCTGTGGATGTTTCCCTATGATCATATTGTTAGTGTCATAAAAGTTGAGAGTGCTCACAGGCGAGGTTTTATTATGGTTTTACCCCTATTTTCCTTATCTTATCTTATCCTTATCTCTCAGAACCCCGGACCTACCTATCTTATCTCCCAGACCCATGATATTCCGCCAGCACACTCTTTATCTGGTTACCCGGCTGCTGTCACCCCAGTTCCTGCTGCCGCCTCCCAGATGACCAGTGACCCGCATGCACCATCACGCTTCTCTTGATGGCATCATGCTTCTTAGTAGTTGGACGAGAGTCGACCGCCAGTTGAGAGTGGTCTACGGGATGCAGCCTATTCAGACGGAGTCCCGCGCGGATGCAGGTGATATGCGCTCTTTACTCTCATTTGTCGGGAGTACACTTCTTTTAGTGTCCTCGCTCCTCATTCTTTGAACAACGCACTTCTTGCTGCATGCGCCCTGGTAGACACTATTCTTAGTACGAGTCTAACATGTATTTAAGCTAGCCTATGCTGTGGCCTTAGACCCCAGCTTCGGCTAAGGTTATACACTCCTAACTCTTACAAGCTCCTTGCTTTCGCTATAAGTGACGCCTAACTTCTCGCAATCTACCAACGCCTCTCTAACACTGAATCACCGAACGCGAGTGACAGGATAGAGACCAGCTTTGGCGAAGGTTCGAGTTAGTGCTTAACAGGTTTCATCATGGAGAGATTCTCCTGCTGCTTCATGAGGCAGCTTACCTGAGCCTTTCACTGTTAGGCTACTCATGCTTGTATCCCACTGCTTAGCTCCACCTGGAGGTAATTGTACTCGAGGTGAGCCCCTCTGCTCATTCTCAGTCAGGGGTTCTGTACTTGTAGAGTGACAGTAATCCCCTCCTATGCCATGTTGGTGCGATTCATGTTCAGTCTCCTTGGAACATGACAAAATGGATATATTGTCCATAGGTGTATCTACAAGCATATCATAAGCATGACTATTCATAAGTAAGCATGTACCAAAAGAAATTTGAGTCCTAGCTGGTGGGGCAGAATCACCTAGTGCCCTGATGGCATCTCTTTTGCCTCCTTGATCTTTGTCGAGCTTGTGAGGTCTTCCTGTTCTGCCTTGGCCAACATGGCTCATAGGCATTGTACTGGTATCCTTTTCTTCTTAATCAGCCACTGACTTTCTGGCAGGCACTTGTTGTCCTGTTTAGTATGTCTCTTGTGGCCACATCAGAAACATCACCTCTTGTGTTTGAGACAGTTGATGTCCATTAGCTGGCCCTGGCCTCCATAGGTGATGCCAGTGATGTCTCTCCTGTTATTACTGGGGGTGCCTCCAGATCTGCTGGTTTTGCCAGTCATGGTCCTGAACCCTTTGGTCCTGCTGAGGCATCCTCCTCCCTGTGCAATATGCACCCTATAGTTCTCGTCCATTCAGCTGATGTGGTCCTTTCATTCCCAATAATTGGTGAGGCATGCATTGTCTCCAGACACGATGATTGTCTTGACATTTGGGCAGATGGCAGCCTTGACAACTTCCTTTATCTCTTCATCATTGTGGAAGCATTCTGTGGCCACTGCCATCTCCTTGAACTTGCTGAAGAAGGCTACAGCTGACTTGAAGTTAGCTTGCTTTAACTTCTTCTATTTAATGTGCTTGATCTCTACCTCAGCCACCTCCTTGAACTGCTGGCATACTTCCTTCTTGAAGTCCAACCACTTGGGTGCTCGGTGTCTTTCTGAGTGTGAGTCATAGTAGCGTTGTTGCTGCTGGACCCACCATGCCATGGCTTTATCCTCAAACAAGGACACAGCAAAGATGACTCAGTTAGGGCAGTATCCATGCTCGTTAGGGGTGAAGAATTGAGCATGCGACTCAAAGTAGTATTTGCACTGGGTGAAAAATCAGTCAATGTTATTGGCCTTTCTCTTGAAGACCATGGGGACCCACATCAGCTTTGGAGCCATGTTCTTCCAGGGATTCGGCTATCTATCTGCAATAGTCCATCCTCCTGGAGAGTCCAGAGGGAGAGGGGGGTTCATGGGTTGTGGAAGGGACTGTAAATTTGGGTCGCTGCAGGGTGATGGTGGTACAGCTGGCAGAGGAGGAGATGTGGGCAGTTCACTGCTGCCTTCTGATGGTCCAGATTCTCCTCCTCCTGGTGTGGGGTTGGAACCTCCATTCTCTCCACCCATGAATAGGCCTAGGCCCATGTGTCTGATGGGCTGCTAAGTGGGGTCTTGTATCAGTTGATGGATACTACCCCCAACAAAGGAGATGTTGGTGCCTGCATCACTGAGGCTAGGGATGGGGATGGTGTAGCACTTTCTGACCGACACTTGTTGATCAGGGTGGATGTTGTTCCAAAACTTGGCAGCAGCATATCATGTTTCAAGAGAGAAAATTCTCTTCTCAAGTTCTGAGCCTAGGGGTGCTGCTCGATAGGCTCTCTCTTGTGGGGATGTGGTCCAGGTCACCTTGTAGGGGAGGCATCACTCTGTCCAGTCTAGCATTTGTTTTCATGTTATGTTAAATATTTTGCCTGTGGGTCCCAGTGCTGGACCTCTGGACAAACTTGTCCCTTCCCTCATCATAGGGGGGATCATTGTTGTACTTGTCTTCCCATGCCTGTTGATTGATCTCAATCCCAGCTCTGACCCAGGGGTCCAACCTCATCAAATCAGGCTCAAGAGAGGTCTTGTAAGCACTGACAGATGGCGCACTGGCAGTGAGGGTCATTATTGGAATCTGCCTGATCGAGCTCTTCCAGAACAGGGTTCAGGAGGAAGGTCATGTCTGAAAAGGGTTGGTTTCTGGCAAACCACTCAAGAATTCTCCACTGACCATCCTCATCTAGGAGGAAGATGACCCACTGTATAGGCTTGATCCAGGGTGGAGAGTCAGCATGAGTGTAGTACTCATAGAGCTTCTTGTCAGAGGAAGAGTCTCTCTCCTGGTTAGTGGTGTCTGAGTAGTCATCTGGGGTGAATGTTGGGTGCTGGAGCTCTGATGAAGGCTCCACAAAACGTCTGAGGTCTGCAATTGTGATGACGTCTCTTGGGAGGACATCTGACTCAGGTCTGGCTGTTCTCCTGCCTCTTCCTCTCCAGAAAGCTGTCCATCTCCTCCTCCCATGTCTTGCCCTCATAACCCAATGAAAAACTCATCAGTAATGTCAACTCAACTGGTTGAGTTGATGAGCCATATGTCATCTCCTTTATCAGTCATGATTCTTCCACAGATGGCATCCACATAGAATCTTCAGGTTCCTCTCTGATAGAGTCACTCTCCATCTGAGTTGTAGCCTAGTATGGCAGCTGATAACTCAGTGGAAGTGACTGACTGATCTGTGATGCTCTCAGTGTCATCTGGCAGGATATGGAGTTGGCTGAGATCTTCTTCTCTCAGGGAATCACCTTCTCTATTGCCTGGCTGAGCTTCTCTTGCAAGGATAGAGTGGACTGACATGGGGAGGTCTTTGTCAGTGGGTATGGAGGTTTGAAGCCCTGTTTTGTTCTGTTGTCGGATTCCAGCATATGGTGTTGGAGCTTGACAGTGCTGTTGGTTTGGATGCTTCCTGTTAATGAGCCATTGAGCCTGTCTACTCTCCCTCTTCTGGGGGTCAGTACTCTTTGGTGTCATCAGGGTTGGGTGTAATGAACTGTGATGGCTCCTACTAAAAGTATAAGAGAACTGAAGGTGCAGGCAAATATGAGGGCAGTTTGGTCTGAAGAGTTCATACAATCACCATCATTAAACAATGATGAGGATATTCGAAGGCAAGCTTTGGCTAATTGTAATACACCAACTCAACTAGCAAGATGGGTTCTTTATCTGTCACTCATGTTCAGTGAATCAGAGTAAGAGATGTGTTGCAAGCCACATTTTAAGTGATGTTGACTTCTTAGTCCATAAGCAGGGAGCTCAAGTAAGAGTTGAGAGTGTATAACCTTAGCTGAAGCTGGGGTTTAAGACTACAGCTGAGGCTAGCTTAAATATATGTAAGTCCTACTTAAAAATAATGTACTATCTGTGGTTCTCACATAGAGAAGTATGGCTTTCAATGAATGAGCATAAAAAGTATATGAGGCTAGAGTGCTGGCAGCTCCAGAGTGTGCCAGCACTCTACTCCAAAGTGATAGTTATGGAGCAGACATCTGATCAGAGCCCTGTAGAAGCTGATGGGAATAATGGTGTATAGGGGTTCCAGGAGATCCTGGTACTGGGTGCTGAGAGATAAAATAAGATGAAAATAAGATCAGATAAGATAAGATAAGGCAAAAAATAGGGGTGAAACCGTGACAAAAAGAGGGGGAGTGCTGAGGGAATGATTGGATCAACAGACAGCAAGCTATCCAGTGCAGCCTTTCCTATGGTGACAGATGATAGCTTGATGATATCAAGGTCACAGTTTGCAAGCCATCTTGTGTGTTATAAGTAGGTGTGTTCTAAATTGAAACTGATGGACAAATACCTTTGGTTGAATAAGCTAAGATAGAATACAACAGTAGATAAGCCTTGTTCTCTAGTCAGCCTGGAATAGTGAAGAAGTGCATAGTAGTGGCAGCATGGGATTCCTAGGTTTATTCCCATCATGCAATCACAAAGGGTATGCCCCATGTCAAGGACAGCAATGAAATGAATGGACTCAGATGTGTAGTAGGCAATCTTAAATAACCCTGAGCACAACCATCCATGTGTAGCAATAAAACAGAGAAGGTATTTTGTAGACAGCTTGATGTTATCATCTTCAAATGTATTGAGGAGATTCTGTGAAAGATAGTACATACTGTATGTACTTGTATGAATGAAACCAGAAACCCCTTGTCAGCGGAAGTCAGGGTTAGCAAGATAATATTGTATGGAGAAAATATCTATACTGTAGTGTGGTTCAAGTGGGGAAGAGCACGAATGCTATGGTTTTGGCTAAGCTTTGAGTGATTGAGATGTGATTGATGTTTGATGATGCAATAGATTTGTTTAAGCTTACTTTTTATAGCTCAACAGCATAGTTTATGATGTAGTGATGATGTGAAATGATACAAGTGTTGATGGCTATATATGGCAGTGATAGCATTGATTGCAGTTGCAATGGTAAATTCTGAGTGAGTGACTATTCTTAGTTACTTGCTTTAAAGGTCTGAAGCTTAGTTCAGAGACTCTCAAGTTGATTGGTTGTTAATCTGTAATGTGGGGTAAAAAAGCTACTCATTCAGATGTTTTGTTTAATATTTATACACTTTTGTAGTCTACATGTCCATGATGTGTCTCTGCATGTTCATCTAATGATGATATATTGCCACATGGACATTTTCTATTCATCCCTCAGTCCATTGTTTATTAGGCAGTCCAATACCAGCCCTAACACCCTGCATTATGGATTTGTGGATGAAACAAGCCTATTATCTGGTGTTACGTTTCTTGGATAGGAAACCAAACATGGAGCCAGCCATCAGGCTGGCCGAAAATTTAGAATGTAATGCTCTCTTGAGATCATACAGTAATCAGCTACTGCAGACTTCTTGCTCCCAGTGAACATCATTCACCTTTGATGCATTGATGAGACAAGTCATGTCATCTTCTGTTAAGGCATGATGTACCACAGAGGGTGCCTCAGGTATATTTGAAACAACAAGAGCATTCTATGAAGCTATCAGTACATGTTATAGTATGAGCTGTACAGTAAATCACCAACCTAATGTGTATGACCTGCTGGAAGAGATACCTATTCGACATGATAGAAAACAGAATGCTCCATTTGTTTGTATGATTTCTGAACAGCATACAAGACACAGTTTCCCTGAATCAACTTCAATGGTTCTGCAAATAGCACATCTATAGCTGAAGGGTGTTGTACTTGTGTTGTCTGAATCAATTGTGAGCAATTTAAGATGCTCCAATAGCATATAGATATATACCTGTTGAACATGTAGGGTTTCCATGTCATCTTGACCCTCTGTTCTCTTGATAAGCCCAGTGACAAGATCAAAGAGTGTTGTTTTGATATCGCCAATACTCTTGTTAACTCTATTCTCACTCTCCACATGACCTGACATATGGACACCACATGTAAATGCCTTGTGGATGTAACCTTGCTCTATGAAGGAGCGAGACCACTGGGAGGATCAGACAAGAACAATCGTCAAGTGCACTGCTGGAAAGCCAGCGATCTTCTTCAGGTCCTTGGCTGAGCTAGCGGACTAGGTATTGATAGCCTCATCCGCGTTTATGCTGGTTGATGATTCATTCAATAAAACATTCCTTGAAACTGTCTGCTGTGAGTATTGGTTCAGGAAGATGGTGTTCTCGAGAGGGGAAGAGGGTCAGATCATTTGGTATGAAGCATTTGAGTTCAGAGGCGTGAAAGGTGGGGAATACATTTGGCGTGTTTGGCATTTCTATAGTATAAGACAAGAGGGCAGGATTAGCATGTAATATAACATAAGGACCATCATAACATGGCATGAACTTAGCAACGCGACTCTTGTCTCCAGCTTTGTACTCTCGACGATGGTGGAAGGTACTGAGCATCACCTTATCGCCCACCTCAAAGACATCTTCTTTTCCTCGATGCTTGTTTGCATGGTGGGCTTGGTTTATCTTTGCCTTGATGAGGTTGTCGCAAGCTTGAGCTGTGTCGTCCAAGAGCTGTGCGATGATCTTAGCAGCATCAGCATTGGATTTCACATTGTCCACAAGTCGATTCGGAACTAGAGGAGGTAGAATCCAGGGTGAGCATTCCATATGTAGTTGAAAGCCTGAGAAACCAGTGGAGGCATTGACTGTGTTCATGATGTTGAAACGAATGACAGGTAAGGTGCGTACCCATCCTTTCTGGTTGTGTTCAACGTGGTAACGTATCGCCTGGTTTATTGTCTTATTAGACCGTTCAGAGGATCTGTCAGTCTCAGGGTGGAAGGAGGAAGACATTTTTAGCTGTACACCAGTTAGTTTGTGTAAGGCTTTCCAGAATTTGGATATGAAAAGTTTATCGCCATCGGAAACAATGTTGTTGGGGAGACCATTTTCGCAGTACCAGTGGTCAAAAAAGAGGGAAGCAAGAGCCTCAGCTGTCAAATCGGTGCAGGTTGGAATAAGTCGGACATCGGACCCAAGGCAGTCTGTCATGGTAAGGAGACAATTAAAGCCATTGTCCAAGGACAAAGGGCCAACAAAATCAATCGCCACACTGTCTCCACGGTTGTCAGGGACAGGAAGTGGATGTAAGGGTCCAGCAGGCTTCATCGTGCTAGATTTGTTGCGCTGGCAAGGTACACAACTGGGTATGTACAATGCCTCGAGATCTCTGCACATGTTGGGCCAGTAGTAAGCATCTCTAAGAGTAGCATAAGACTTATCAGTGCCAAAATGTCCAAGAGTATCATGTGCAAGTTTGAATAAGTCTTCTCTAATTGTTCCCGTGTGTGGAATTAGAAGTCGATCACCGATGTACCAGAGACCATTCACTTCCTTGATGTTTGGGAGAATAGTTTTGCCAGATACAAATTTGGAGCAGAACTCATTGATCTTGTAACCAGCCTTGATGGCTGATAATATTGAGACGTCCATCGAGATTGACAGTACAGCGTTTATCATGTTTTTTGAGAGCCAGTCTTTCCAGGATGTGATCTCATCTGGATCTTCATCAGTGGCAGGTGTATCATCTGTGGGTAATCGTGATAATGCATCCGCTACACAATTGTCTTCACCTTTGATGTAACTGATGGTCATCTCATATTGGGACATCACCTCGAGCCAACGGGCCTGTCAACATGATAGATCTTTCTGCATGTCAAAATTTTCTAATGTGCGATGATTAGTGAAAACATAGATATGGGATCCAAGAAGGTCAGATTGCCACTTCTTCAAGGCACATATAATTGCGAGTAATTCTTTTTCGTGAACTGGGTAGTTGAGCTGTGCTCCTGTAAGTTGCATGGAGTCATATGCTACAGGTTGAGCTGTCTCCCAAGTTGGCCCTCAGGATAGGACAGCACCAGTACAAAAATCACTTGCATCGCATGTGAGAAAGATCTTATTCTCACCAGGGTTGACATGGTCTATCACAGTGAGACAGGCGCTTTCAGATACAAGATTCTTGATTGCGTCAAATGCCTCTTGGTGTTGTTCAGTCCAAGTTGGAAAATTCTTCTCTGCTTGATCTGTAGTGAGTGGGGACAGAATGCGAATATATTCCGCCAGATTCTGGAGATGGGCCGAAAGGTACCAAGTCAGACCGAGGAATTGGTGAACATGGGAGGCAATCTTAGGACATGGCCACTCCTTGATATGCTCAACCTTAGATTTATCAACCTCAATACCTCTTCACGAGATGCGATGGCCTAAAAATTCCAGTTCCAGCAAGAAAAATTGAGATTTCTTCGGGTTGCAGTAAAGCGCATCAGCTCGTAATGCATCGAGTACCTGATGCACATGTAGCATGTGCTCCTCGACTGAGTCAGACCAGATAATGATGTCGTCAAGATAGATGTGGCAAATCTTTCCCAAGAGGTGATGGAGTGCATGGTTGACACGGCGCTGATGGATCGCTGGTGCATTCTTCATTCTCTGTAGCATCACTAACCACTCATAAAGTCCAAAGGGTGTCTGCACCGCTGTGTATGGAATGCTCTCTGGGTGCATGCAGGTGTGGAAGAAACTATCTGTCATGTCGAGCTTGCTCCATATCTTGCCACGGCCAGTGTCTGCCAGAATGTCGTCAATGCAAGGCAAGGGGTATTTGTCGGAGACCATATTCACATTCAGCTGCCGGAAGTCATTTACCCATCTGGGAAGAACTGTCTTGTCAGTTTTCGGAATAAGGAATGCCGGGGAAGAATATGGTGATGAAGATGGACATATGCATCCCACGTCAATGTTTTTCTGGATCAGCGTCTGCCAGGCTTCACAGAATTTTTGGGGGCAAGAATAGGAATGGAAGGTGATTATCTTGTCTGCATTCTTTAATTTAATCTTACAGGTCATGTCTGTAGAGAGGGTATCAGCATGGGGTATGGGGGCAAAAACATCCGCATATGAGACTTTAATCTCATCATTCAATTTCTTCAGGCATTTGAGGAAAGCTAATCGTTCAATATTTGTACGTAGTGCAGCTATAATATCAGAATTACAAAGTTTGTTATATGCATGATCAGTCTGGGTAGCAAAAGCAGTTTCATCAGGAGGTAAGGTAAAGAAAGGTAGTTCACAAGACACAGAGCGATTGAGCTGGGAATTAAGTTTACGTACATCAGCGGCAGGTAAAGGAGTATCTTTTGGCAGTGGTGCCTTCAGGTGCAAAAGATCAAAACCGGAAGGAAGAGAAATGCAAGTGCGTCGATGATGGTCAACTACAACATGGTTGGCCAAAAGAAAGGGTAGGCCGAGAATGATATCTGTGCAAAGTCCTGGTGCAATAATGGCATGTACCATCTGTGAGGACCAAAGATTCAATGTGTCATGGGGTTTGAGTTTAACCCATTCAGTAAGGTGGCAAGCAGGTGAAGGAGTGTCTGAAATCGTGACACCAATCTCTATAGGTTCAGGCAAGGTTCTACGTTTCAGGTGCAGGCGTTCAACAAGTTCTGGGCAAATTAGCACAAGGTGTGTGCCATCATCTACTAAAGCAGTAACATTAGAACAGGGTTCTAGTGCAGCCAGATCATGGGAATCAACAGCACACTGCCACAGCAGGTGTGAAACAGCAAAGGGAACAGGCGGGGGGATTTTACTCACAGTTTCTGAATCAACCGAGAGGTTAGCATCAGCCATAGTGCCATCAGCATTGTCCACATCGAGTACTGAGGATTCGTTGACAGGTATGGCAGCCATAATAGGCCATGCCATCATTCCCAAGATTTGTATGGAGGCAACGGGAGCCTGAGGGGCAGCTTGTGCTGGGGCAGGAGCAGGAGCAGTGGCAGGCATAGTTGTCTGGGCATTCATGACTGCGATAGTGAACAGCGGTAGTCCTTTGGCCTTGTCTGCATGATGTCAGACTACCCAGTCTGTGGTACAATGCTCGTAACCAGCAGCTGGAGGTGGTCGTCCCTTGCACTTGCCATATCCCTGTTCTTCGTGTGGGATATCGATGTCGCGGCATGCAAAACAACCATTGTTTGCTGCAAGAACAGCACGCTCATCATCACCAAGTTTCCCCTGGAACTTGTATATGAACGTGTTCCCAGGAAGCGTGGCTGCAGAGGATGAGGTAGTAGTCAATGTGGATGCCTCTGAAGGAGGAGTGTACGTCCTACGTGGCGGTCGGCAGAAGGTTGTGGGGACAGTGGAGGCAGAGGAAGATGTAGCAGTAGCGTTTGAATTGTCAAGGTGTTGACATTTTGCCAATTCTAGAGTCACCACAACGTCAGCAATCTCCTTATGTTTGTGGTGCAGTTTGTCATCCTGAACAGTAACGAGTTTTGTCCATGCATCTAAATTGTTACATTCACAGATTTCCTTGATGTTCCAAATTGCGTCCTGGAGAGGCTTGGAGATATGGCCACATAAGTTCGCCAGGAAGGCTGCATCATTGATGAACTCAGGATAGTCCACAAGGAGACTGTTACGTCCCTGGAGGTTCTCGATCCAATCAATGAAGTTACAGCCCTCTGGCATTGATTCCTGCCAGATCTCATTGGCGAGGTCCTTTTTCCAGATAGTGGGAAGGAAGTGTTCTCGAAATTCAGCCATAAACTGCGTGAAAGATAGAGTAATGAGGTGTTTCTGGTGCTGCTTAAACCATGTGACTGTGGTGAGGTTCTCCACAAGTCCTTCGACGAGGTTCACGAGAATATCAGGAAGAGCGTGTCTCTTCTGGAGCTGGCATCGCATGTAATTCTCCCCTACATCAGAGTATGTACTCAGTGTCTTGGGGTCGTGTAGATGTCCCTGCATCAGGGTGGGAGGAGATCGTCCACTGCCATGGGTCAAAACGTGGGACACCTGGTTCTCGGTGCTGGACATATTCGTGGGGGGCAGAGGGCATACTGGACTGGAAGAATAGTAATCAGAGGAAGAGTCTGATGCAATGATTTGCTTTTGGATGGCAGGAGGTGGAACTGGTGCTGGTGCTGGTGCTGGTAGAGGTGCAGGGATTGGTGCAGGTACAGTAGGTACTGACAACTGAGATTCTTGAGATACTGAAGATGGGAGACTAGTTAACGTGGAGGAGGATGGTGATGAGCCTCCAGGCTCTGTACGCTCAGAATTCACGGATTTTACCAGATATTTAATTCCCCAGCCACCACACAAACCTACTATTTTGATCCCGGCAATATTGCTCAATGCCGCCAATTATCCTTCCCCACTTGTACCCCACATCAATTACGCGCCCCTTTCATTAATTCTGCCAGTCTTCTTTCATTAATTCTGCCAGGCACCTGATTGTCAATCTCACGGAATTAGAATCCCATCTGATTGCTTAGCACAGCCGCAATTCCACAGCACAGCCACAATTCCGCAGCTCAAATAGCAATTCCGTGGCATTAGCTCTAATGCCGTGACCTTTCCTCAGTCTTTACTAAGGCTGTTATACTGCCAAGAGATTGCCGCAAGCATCTACTTCAGTACACTTGCTTCAATGTACTTTGCCGCAGCAACACAGCAGCTCAAAATTCTGGAGATCGGTGGCATTCTTGCTAATCACTTCATCTATATGTGGTAAAAGCCATATGGGTGCTGTTACTTTCGAACCACAGTACACAGTAAAACCGTGTGGGTGCTGTTACTTTAGAACATTGGGAACATGTGTTTGGTATCATTTCTTACCAATCTATGTACTATGGACTTACTAAGGACTCACTTCAAGTATTCTAAATTTATTCTGGACTTGTAGTATAAAAGCTAGTATACACCACGGAAAATAGGGAGTTGCTAGAGAAGTTACTGGACACTAGCCATCATCCATGTTATCGACCACCATTATCGCTTGTACTCACTAGGAGATAGACAATAACAACATAGTCACTCCAAGTTATACTCTCTGTCACGGCTTTTCTTCTAACGGTATTGGTGTATGCTCATATTGCGCCAATACACAGAATTTGGTGTCCACAACTCGCTTTTATCTTTTAATCCGCCAGCATTGTTTCACTTTCACCAGCCAGGATCGTTTTCATCAGTTTTCACCTTCTACGTCGCCATCGTTTTACCCAGTTCAGTTCAGGATCGTTATGTCCCCATGTGGACTCAGATTAGGATTGTTATTGCCGCCAGCAGCATCTGTCATGGAATTTCGGTCAACAGCTTCAGTATAGGATCATCAGTCATGGTATTTGGTATCTTGCCATCAGTTTCAGTATAGGATAGTCTCTGTGTAGACTCAGGATTAGTATCAGTTTCGTTTTGCTGTCGTTAACCTCAGTATAGTTTCAGTTTCAGTCCAGCCCAGTCCCAGCCATTGTTTTGCTGTCACTAGTTCCCCCTCATATCATCGCCAGTCCGTCTTATCTTCGTTTTACTGCCAGTTTCTCGTTTCTCGACTACAGTCTTCATCTCTTGCCGTCATGGTATTTGTTATCTTGCCAACGGTATTGCTCTTTGACGGCATTTTCTCTAATTCTGTCAACATCGCCCATGGCTTTTACTAGTTAAATTGCCATCACTTCGTTCACGGTTTGCCGGTATTCCCAGTTATACCGGATTCTGTTCCTTCTCGTCTATCGAGACCCTTCCCGGCTTACAGCCAACGTTTTCTAGTACTCAATCGTTAAGGGTACTACTTCGCTGACTGAAAAGTCGCAGTGTATACTTGCGTTCTTGAGGAATTCATCGCACGGAGGTGCACCGAAACACTTGCACAACAACAAAGCCTTTATTGCCACTACACGCCGTTTGCCATGAACTCCTCTAGAGTTTTGGTTTTTGCCATTGCCATGGAAGTTTAGGCTCATCAACGGGAAGGCAGAAAAGGCAGGAAGAGGTGGGCCAATGATGCTGGCAATGGGGCTGGCATGAGGCATTGCGAAAAGTTCTTCTGCAATGGTTTCCTGTATGTCTACAGAGGATTGACATGAGGATTGATTTCGGCAGGAGCAGGAAGTGGATCCTGGCACTACATGACCTATACCAAAGTATATGCATGTCAGAAAAATCTAGAACAAATTTTTATTGAGTAATGACTCGACCTGGCAATGGTGTGGGTGCGGGCGTGGTCTGGCATGGGTGGGAATTCGTGCTGGCAAAGGCAGGCAAGACGTCGGTCAAAGACCTTCATCTCAGACAGGCAAGGATCTGGTTGGAGTCATCGTTCAATCGTTAAAAAAAAAAGTGTAACCTTGCTCTATGAAGGAGCGAGACCACTGGGAAGATCAGACAAGACAAACAAGGAATGGCATATATTGAAAGCAAGAGGAAGGGTGAAAGGGATGTAGTCAACTACGAAGAGGGGGATGATGGTGGTTGGAAGGTAAGTGAGGGCGTAGCCCAAACTAGCGCCAAATATGTAAGTACATGACGTGAGATATAGTATGATCGAAGGATCTATGACCAGGGATCTAATGAGTAATATCGACGTGGTAAGCAGCATGCTTACAGTGGAATGGCTGAAAGAGAGGACCAGACACTGGTGTGGCATGCATAATGATATTGCCATCAAGATGATGGAGACATTGTCCATGAAACACAATCTTGGTCAGAGGATGATGAGATACTGCTGAGAGAAGACCACTATCATAGTCTGAAAAGAATGATTGGTCAGAATAGGATGGAAGCACAGAGAAAAGATGGTTCAGAGCCTATTTGTGCTCTTCTGATGTCTTGCTTGTATGCAGTGAGTATGCAAGGTTTTGTGTTGAGAAAAGTGGTCAATGCAGACAAAGATATTCAATGGAAGATTATACTGATTTCATTGCAGAGCAACACCATTGATAATAATGTCACTGACCCATTGACCCAATTCCACCTGTGTTGGGATCATAAAGAACAGTCAACAAAACTCTTCTGTGACACTGTCAATCTTGAAATGTACCATCCAACAATCATCAGCTGCTTTTAACTCAGTCAATCTCTGAACAACAGCAACTATATCTCCACCAAGGTTTTGTACAGCATTAGGAGCTTCATGGCAAGAGTTGTTTATAAGATTCACCACCTGGCAAAGTGATAATAGATAATCAGGAAAATGTAAAGGAAAAAGTGTTGAAATATCAGAGCAAGTGAGCATTTTGAGTGGTACCAGAGTTCATATCATCTCTTTCTGAGCTTCAGATGGAAGGTTGTAGATGGGAAGGTTGTCATTATAGGTGATTGGATGATTATGGATAAGGTTGACAGATGTGAAGTGAAATGTACCTAATTCTGCAGAGCATCAGATATTGACATGAGCAGAGCATCCTGTACATTTACTTTTGCCTTTTTGGAAGTCTGATGGATCTATGCTATTTTTATGAGAAAACTGAGGACTTTCATGACAGTTGCATCAAATTCAAAGTCACTTAATGACTCCTAAAATGAATAAGAATGGAATAAAAATGATATTGATATGAGCTCATCTGTAATATGGTTGCAAACACTTTCAGTCTTCTTCCAGACATATCCATGTTGTTCTTCATAGAAATAGATGTAATGCAGTGCTGCCTCAAGTGTATTGAACATCATTGCCTGCAGTGGCCACTGTGGATCTAAAGGTGCACTTGTCAGCTTGGATGGAGATCTGCTCTCTGAACAAGGTATGGTAGGGGCATATTTTGATAACAAATAGGAAGATCTGAGCAAGGAAGCCTATTTTGATGGCATGGACAGATTGTCATCAAGAGCTATGTCTGAATCTGACTCCAAATCCATATCCAGTCCATAATCCTCACCATCAGCAAGGGGTTTGTCAGCATTCTTCAGTATGAGATCTTTGACTACAGGCACAGAAGCATCAAAGAATGGATCATAGCTGTCAGATATGAGGAAAGACTCCTGGCTGAGTTGTTGGACTGTGACAAGCAACACTGAACTTTTGGATGTAAATCCATCTGCTAAAGACTGGGATAGTGTTGAGTTTATAGGCAATATCATTGAGTATATTGTTAACTCACCAAGCAGCTGTGTTTCTGTCAAACACTTTGACAATGCACTTGAAGAATAGTGCTCATCCAGATACAACAAAACTGTTATGACTTGCTCTGAGTCCACAAAGACAGGCTATGATCAATAAAAGATGCAATTGCTAAAAGAGCAGCAACCCCACAAGATCCACTGCCTAGCAACTGCGAAGAAATAGGAAGAATATCCTCCTGCCATTGATCCTGGATCTCAGTGATATCCCCAAAGAGCCACTGGACTTTACAGCACATATTGTCATCAGCTTCCCATTTCAGAGAATCACCATAAAAGATAACATAATGCTTCAATGAGATTAAACAAGATGCCCAATGAACACCATGCTTGTTATACACAAAAGCAAGATATGTAGGAGGATTTTGTAGGAATAGATCACATAGCAGTTGGAATTGTTTTGTGAACTTCTGACATTCAAAAGCAAGGCTGAGCTCCTGGTGAAAGAAAGTGGGAAGAATGTGAATAGAATTTGATGATGTAGCATTTAGCAATGACTTGAATAAGTGAGTGTGTGCATCAAGAATACTTTAACTGAGCCATGTCTCACCTGAAAATTCATGAAGCATGGAGAGTGTGAGTGTAACCAATGATGAAAAGCCTTGCAGTAGAGTATTAATGCAACATGAGAGCAGTAATTCATAATTATCTAGCAAAAGAATCTCTAAGATCTGAATAGCATTTAATACTGCATTTATGTGTCCAACATGCTTCTGGAGAATAAGACAGTTATGCCAGAGTTGTATCAGACTGTAGTGAACTGTGTAGACATCTTCTACATATATATCAATGTTAGATAAACCCAAAATACTTTTATGACAACAGAATGAACCATTATATTCCAGAACAACTGCATGAAACCCAACTTTATACTGCTGCTTCTGGTCACCAAGAAATGTCTGTATGTCTTTGCCACAAGGAATGAATGCACTGAGAAGCTGGAAATTGATAGAAGATGCTGGTGGGACAGTTTTTGCCCATCCAACAAGGTAGACAGTGTTGAGAGGTAAGACCAAGGGCAAGAAAAGACTTGAGCACTGATCAACAGTGAGTGATGTAATGAACTCTGTTGAAAAGGGCATGTCATTTGAGGATGCCTTATAAACAGAGCATGAGTTGTTATGAGCTGGAAGCTCAGATGCAGTAAACAAGAGAAGATTCAATATTGATGATGATCATGTCTGTATGTGATGGGTCAGATTATCTGTTGAGCTGGCAAGAGATCAAACATACTTTCTGTATGCATATCTTCATGTATCAGATCTTCAGCCTATGCAGAAGCAACATCTAAGCTTAGGTCTGAGCTGTAACCATGGGAAGTCAAAGTACAATCCTTTATTTCACTATAGGCAGTATGGGAAGACAGACAACTCATAATCAGTGATTCAGATGATAGTGAGCACAGGCAAGGCTAGAGAGATAATACAGAGCAAGAAAAACCCACTGACTAGAGCCATCTATATTCTGACAAATTCCTGAGATACTGGTCTATTCTTGTGACATCATGTTCTAGTTACTCAAGTATCAGTTTAATTGAGAGAATGATTAGAAGTTAGAGCACTGAAAAATCTAAATTTGATTAGACAAACAATGTGAGCTTTACTCACAATGTGTATCTGGCTCTCAGATACCATAGAGACAAAAAAATAGTCATGATACACCAAGTGCCACAGATAGCCCATCTATCCTTCATATTGTTCGAATCAAGTCCAGAGTCCTTAGCTCATTATCAATACAGGGTAAGAGCTGCTACATTGGACTATGCACTGTTTATCCTGATCCATCACTTATCATTATCCACCACTTTATTATGCAAAAAGACTATAAGAGGCCAAGGATACACAAGTCCAGTCATTATCACCATGAGATAGAGAGCAATATGAGTGAATAGAATAGAGCCTAAGATGTGGCAAACCAGGAAGCCAATGACATTATCATGTAAACCCTGTTAGGCTAGTGTTTCTCATAATGTTTGTGTGTGAGATTTCTCAAAACACAAACCTCTCATCGCTGTCTGAAACAGCAAGCAAAGAAGTTTGCTAAAACAATGGTCCATTCAACAGCAGAGAAAGAGATAGAAGAATATTTATTCTTAGTCATTACTCATACAGAGTTAGAGACAATGAGAGAGGTGGAGAAGACAGCCAGTGGACTGTATGTAGATGAAAATGATAGCATGCATTATGATGGTATCTAAAAGGTCCAGGGAAGCTGCATCAAAATAACACCTCTGCAACCATACCTGTGCCTAAAGGGGAGACACTTATGTAAATATCACCCAGAGGAGCCAAATAGATTTATTGTTAAAATTTATTCATACTATCAATAGTTGTATATGTGAGGAGGATACATTTTGAGCAGATAACTTTTGGCCTGAGATTCACTTTTTCTCAAGTATTGCATGTAATACAGTGTTTTTGGCTTCTCACAACTTTAACACATCATTAATTACTATGTATTTCATCTACTGTCAAATTTTCTGGTCCGAATGTAAAAAAAATAATGACAGGAAAAATCAGTGAAAGCATGGAATAGTGGGTGTTCTTGGGATGACTGTTACACTAATGTAGGAAGAGAGACCATTCCTTCACCAATTTTGGTTCCCATCACCCTGCACAAATTTGCTCCATGATGAACTTCAAAACTCATGCACATGGAGGTGTGAAGTAACCTAGCTGAAAGACTCACAGTTCTTGGAATGCTTCCTCCATGGATTATATGATGCAGGTTACCAAACTCATGTCATTGACATGTCCTAGAATGATATTTTTCTTGCCTTGCATGAGGCTGTCATATAGCTGCTGCCTCACTTTGAGGTTGTGGCAAGACTGTCTCTGTCCCAGTGTATGGTAAGATAGTGCATTTGAGGGGCTCTCTTGCATGAAGCCCTCTCACATTAGCCACTCTAACCACTTGTGTATGATCCAAGCAGTGATGCTGCCTTTACCAATGGCTATAGTGGCATGTCCTCTGCTCAAGATGTTGCTAATTCTTCCTTCCCAGTTCATGACAAAGTCTAGCCTGCCCTTCTTAAACTTCAAGTCATCCTCCACATACTTGTGTTCAAGGTGAGATCTATCAAGTTGTTTCAATTGTGCCAAGGCTGACTGCTCACCTCTCCTCCTTCTCTTCTCCTCCTCCTCTGCTATCTTGGACAGATCATATGCAAATTGGAAGGGGATATTGTGTTGCATAGCATGGAGAAGCAGTTTGAAAATTTTATTGAAGCCTGATTGTACATTGGCCTACAGCTTCATCATGACTGCTGATTTCTCCAGCATCAGGAGGAAGGCATCCTGGTTCCAACCTTTGTGTGTAACGCACTAACTTGAATTGAACAATGTTTGCCTCTAAACTGTCACTTGCGTTCGGTGATTCAGTTGTGAAGAGGGCATTGCAATCGCTAGGTCAGAAACGATAGTCCTTAGATTGGAAGCAGGGAGTTTCTGCATGAAAAGTTAGGAGTGTATAACTTTAGCCAAAGCTGGGGTATAAGACCACAGCGAGGCTCATTTAAATACATTGTGGTATTTACTAGTATGTACTGCTCCTGCATCTCAATGCACAGTGTCCCAATGCATTGCTGTCTTCTGGTTGTATGTGATTTGGTATAGGAGAAGCTCTCCTGCGAGTAAGAAGGCAGGCGTCCATATGGCGCTTGATATGGTAGAAGCGTGTCTGCAAGTCAGAGGGATGGTGCTATCCTCGGACAAGCATACGTGGCGGCTTATCCATCCTAAGATGTGATCAGAGTCATCCTAAAGAAGCGTGACTGGGTAAAGGAGGGTTGGGCCCATAGTTGTGTGATCAGATCTATGGGCCATCAAACAGATCATGCGTGTGAGCAGTGGATCATGCGTGTGATCAATCAGGTCATGAATGGTGTGGATCAGATACGAGGAATGATGACAAGAGTCGAATGATGAGTTGATGAAATAAGATAAGATAAGTGAAAAATAGGGATGGATTCATGACATTACCCTCTCACTAAGACTCGGTCGTCCCGACTGAGTCAGTGTAAGGTTCGTCTCCCCATTCAATGTTCGACAGAGGAGATATAGAGCGCTCGGAGGTGGTTTCATAAGCTGGATCCAGGGAATCCAGGAAGAAAGTTGAGTTCTCAGTCCATGACGTTGTTACGGATGAGTCGTCATCCTCTTCTTTCTGGTATATTGCTGCTAAGCGTTGTTCGTATTCAAGAACAAGCTCTTCTGCATTGGCCAGCTGACTGCGTGATATCCAAGTGGCTTCCTCTATTGGATATCCTTTCCATTTGATGAGGTATTCGGTGATGTGTTTTCTTTGTTTTTGTTTGCCTCATCATATGGCAGTCTCTCTGTCTTGTAAAATTTCTTCTATCTCGTATTCTTCTTGTCCTTCAATCAGTTCAGGGGGAGGAGGTCCTGGTTGTTCCTGGTTGGGGAACTTCGGTGGTGAGTATGGAGTCAGGTAAACTTCGTTGAACCAGTTATGGATTTTCCATTTGACAGGTAGTCAAAGTTCATATGCTGATGACCCTTTTTTGGCTATTATCTCGAAGGGTCCGACTCGTTTGTTGTCCAGCTTTTTTGCTGGGCACAGCAGGTGTAGGTTGGTGGTGTCTAACCAAACCTTATCTCCTGGTTGGTAGTCTCGAGGTGGTTGTTGGTGGTGGTCATACGCTTGTTTCATTGTCTCCGCTGCCTTGGTTAGGGTGAGTTTCGCCTGTTCTTGGGTTTGGTGAAGCATTTCCACCAACGTAGCTACTGAAGGCATAGCAGTAGCTTCAAGTGTGACGGGTTATATTTGTCTGTTTTGTCCAAATAGGACTTTATACGGAGAATATTCAGTCGCACTATGTTTTCGATTGTTGAGAGCATAGGCTGCTATGAGTAGCCAGTCACTCCAATCATCTTGTTTGAAGTTAATGAAGTTGCGCAGGTACTTTTCAAGTTCCTGGTTAACTTGTTCAGTTTGTCCATCCGTCTGGGGATGATATGCGGTGGAGAGATTGCCTTGAATATTCATCAGGGTATATAATTCTTTTGTGTATTTAGACACAAATTGTGAACCTCGGTCTGAGATTATTTTCGATGGGGTAATTCCAAATCAACAAATAATTTCGTCTCGTAGGATTTTGGCCCACCTGGTGGATGCAATCTCTTTTGTGCATGGCACAAAGTAGAGGTCTTCACGATTGCATACCCAGGTACATCCGCATCCGTGACCACAGGTACCCGTGGCTCAAATGCCATACCCACCATCCGTGCCAACATCCGTGGCATGGATGACCCGGCCCGCACCATGAGTACCTGCATCCGTGGCGGGTACCCGCACTCACCCGGGTATATACAGGTACCTGCAGGTACTTGCATGAGTACCTGCATAATACCCGTGCAATTCTTACTCAATAAAGTACAATAAACTACACTATACATGTAACTAACATCTAAGTAACTAATCTGTCTGGCATTAAGCCTCACACAGTGAATAAGGAGGAGGAGGAAGAGAGGATGCTGACCTATAGTGATGGTGACACTGCCGGAGCAGGGAGAAACGCCATGGGGTTGTGCCGGGGTCGTCTGAAAGGTATTGACAAGGGCTTTCGAACGCCCTAAGAACGAAGGGAAACGATCAAAAAGCGAAAAAGATATGGACTGAACAAAATGATGGCTGAGTCAGACAGTGAGGGCAATGATAAGGGAGCAGCACCGTGAGATGGTAACAGATAATGGACACTAAGGCAGCGTCAGGATATGTCAAAAAAGAGCTTTGAGAGCGTACCAAGTATGTAGGGAAGCACCCATCCGAACCCAAGATATCTTGAATATGCTCTCCATCCCCTGCCAAAACAAAGATCCTGCCATAACTCTGCAATGAAGTGGCCAATTTTAGCGAATAAGGGGTCGGTTTGAAGCCATGAACTGGGGCTTTCGAACGCTTCCAGACGCAAGAAAAACGGGTGAAAAATGATGGAAAAATCATCGTCACAAGATATTGATCTGAGCTTATGAGGTGGAGATTTGATGTGGGTGGAGACTGTAGACATGTGGGAGTTCAGAATTGATGTCTAGGATGAAGGACTAAGGTAAAATGACTGACTGAACCATGTCTGGGCACCAGGAAGATCCGTGAGAGGGCAAGGTGGTGGGAGGAGAGAGTATTCCAGTGGCTGTGTGGGTACCTGTGATGGGTACCTGTCACATGCAGAGCCATACCCAGCATCCATGCAGCACCCGGGTGTCACAGATACTGTGACATCTGCGGATGTGTACCTGCCAGGTACGGATGCCAGGTTACCCATGGGTACCTGTCAAATACCCAGCAATCATGAAGATCTCTAGCACAAAGACATTGTATTTGGAGAATCAGTCGACCACTACGAGGATTGCATTGTAGCCTTTGGACTCTGGTAGTCCAGTTATTAGATCGACCGATATATGTTCCCATGGTCGTGATGGTATTTTGTTAGGGTGAAGGGGAGCGGTGCATTTGTGGTGGTCAGATTTAGTTCTTTGACAGACCTTACATCCCTTCACATATTTTTCTACGTCCCTGTGCATTCTAGGCCACCAGTAATCGCGAAGTACCAGTTCTTGAGTTTTTGCAATGCCTGGGTGTCCTGCTGTTATGTGGTCATGGGCGTAGGAGATGAGTTCTCCTTGTAACGGAGTGTCTTTCAGGGCATATATTCTTCCATTGTAGAATAGAAGGTTTCCCTTCTGTTGGACTCCTTTTTCATAATTAAGGGAGTCTGAGATCCCCTTATCCCATAGTTGAACATTGTCTGTGCTTCTTGCTATTTTATGGTGGATTGCCCCTTCCGTGGGCATTATCAGGGCTCTGAAGAGTTCAGGTTTAAGGATGACGAAATCATTGTTATCCTTTTTGCCTTGATCGTGGTCTGCTCTTCGGCTGAGTAGATCTGCCTTTTTATTTGTAATGCCCAGTTTATGATGTAGTGTAAACTCGTATTCTGCGAGTTCTGTGACCTATTGGGCTTGTTGACAATTTAGTTTCTGAGGCTTTCGGGAATATTGGAGATTGGAGTGGTCAGTCCAAATCTCAAATTTTTGTATGGCACCCATGAGGTAGTGGCGCCATTCTTCTAAGGCAATCATTATGGCCAATAATTCCTTGTCGTAGATTTCGTAGTTGCGCTCCGTGGTGGAGAGCACCTTAGAGAGGAAGGCGACTGGTCTCCATTTTCCATCTGTCTGTTCCTGGGATAATACAGCACCAATAGCACCTTCACTCGCATCTGCCTCTACTCGGAATTTTCCTTCGTTACTTGGGATAGCGAGAACAACATTTTCTAGAAACTGTTGTTTAATGGTCTCAAAGGCATCTTGTTGCGCTTTCCCCCATGTCCAGGCCTCTTTTCCGGTAAGTCGGGTTAGAGGCTTGACATGGTGACTGTAGTGCCAAATGAATCAGCAGTAAAAATTGGCGAACCCTAGGAATGATTGTAATTCCTGTTTCTTGGTTGGGGTTGGCCAGTCCAGGATTCCAGCAATTTTGACAGGGTCCATCTTAATGGATCCCTCACTGACAATTACTCCGAGGTATTCTGTCTCTTCTACTTCAAACTCACACTTCTCAGCCTTTAAGAAGAGTTTGTTTGCTCGGAGTATTTGCAGAACTTTCCAAACTATGGTCTGGTGTTCTGCTTTGGTCTTGGTGGTGATGAGTATGTTGTCCAAATAGACACTGACCAACCCCTGAACTATCAGGTCTTTGAAAAGGTCGTTCATCATCCATTGGAAGGTTGCAGAAGAGTTCGTGAGCCTGAAAAACATGACAAGGGGTTCATATAGGCCTCGGTTGGTACAGAGGCCGCCTTCCATTCATTGCCTTTTTTGATGCGAACATTGTTGTATCCCCATCTCACATCCAGTTTTGTGTAGTACTTAGCACCCCGTAATCGGTCCATTAGCTCTGATATAAGTGGGAGTGAATATCGATTCTTAATGGTCATCTCATTAAGTTTGTGATAATCCTGGACAGGTCGCAGTTTTCTGTCTTTCTTTTTGACAAAAAAGAAAGGTGAGGCCATGGGGGATTTCAACAGTCGAATTCTTCCTGTTGATAAGTTTTCGTCTAGGAATTGGTCGAGTTCGTCTTGTTCTTGGGGATTCAAGGGGTATACCTTGCAATCCAGGCTGGCGTTGGCATTGGGTATTAGCTCAATGGCATGGTCCCATGGTTTTCGTGGGGGTAACTCGTCAAAGTTCTCTTTGGCGAATACATCTATGAAGTCTCGATAGATTTCGGGTACGATTTCTTCAAAGGTTTTCTCTTTTTTGTCTTTGTGGGCTTGGGCGGCTAAGCTTGTGGATTTAGTCCCCATAGCCCAAACATGGAATGCCTGTTCGAAGTTGATTACGAGGATTTTATCCCCTTTCTCAACTTCAGTTCCCCACTGTTGGTTCGGATCTTCATCAGGTAACCAGAACGGGATTTTCCAGCAGTCACACCATGCTAGGGTGACAGTCCCAGTGCTCCTGTCGATCAGGGGGTTGTGGCGCTGCAGCCAATCATGCCCTAAGAAGATTGGCATGGTGCCTAGATCGACCATGGCCAACTCTATTCATTCGGTATGATCCCCAATTGCGAGGCAGACTTCAATGTATTCTGTGATGTCCCCTCCTGTGTTTTGAGTTCTGTTGGCATTGTATACAGGTACTGGATGTGCAGCAGTTTGGGTGGTGATTTGGTGTTCTTTGACCCATTTTTGGTCAATAGCACTTCCCGTACATCCGCTGTCTACCAAGGCTTTGACTGGGTGTTTAGCCAGGGTGTCATAGGTTTCTAGTTGAATGGAAATAGTGACATTCCGTCCTTTCCTTCCCTGAATATATTGTGGTGGTTGCCTGAGGTTGGCCATCCACTGTGCTTTGTGGCTGATTTCTTTCCATGTCTCATGAGGACGTTCTAGTAGGGCTTCTACTAGTTCATCGGTTACCTCCTTGAGGTGTTGAGGATGGACCCACTGTTGTAAGTGGGCTTTGGCAGCATCTGGGGTAAGACACATGGCTCTTCGGATCCATGCTGATTGGTAGGGTTCTAAGTACTGTTGGTCCGAAGGGTACTCCTCTGACGAGTACTCAAGGTTTCCCTCTTTCAGCATCAGGGACTTCCCCTTGTCGCTGTTCGCTGCAGGATTTGTGGCCCTTTGGTCTTCTGCAGTTACTGAGCTTCCTGCCTGTTCGCTCACACTACTGAGGTCTTTTTCACTCGGGGATGGCCTGCACAGTCCAGATTTTTTAGAGTTTCGTAAACTCTGTTGGTAACTGAAATCATCTTCATCATCAGGGATTTTGATAAGGGTTACCTTTTTATTTGTTTGGTTGCCTCGAGGGGAGAACCGGCTCCCCGAGGACTTACTCCCCAGAGACTCCTTGTCTCTGCCTCGAGCAGTATGGCCTTTGCCCTGCGAGGTCTTTTGTCTACTTGAAGGGTCCTTACCCTTATCCTTGATCCTGGCGGTACTAGGCAGAGTAGAGGAGTCCATAGATATCACCTCACCTCTGAGCTCTGTGCCGGTTGATGCATTCTGCATTCTCGTGTCTCAGTGGGAGAGGTCCCCTAGGGTCATGGGCTCACCTGGTTGCTCGCGTCTAGTTCCATTGCCGTTCCTACCATGCAAGTCCATGGACTCGGCTTTCTTCTGATGCGGGGCCTCTCCGTTGCATCCCGAACTTTCCCACATCAGGCAGTTTGGTCTTCTCACCCGCTGGGAACTTGATCCGAGCTTGGGTGTCACTCCTGCTTCCAGGGACGATGGAGGTTACTGCCAAACCTTCATCTGGTAGCTCTATTATGCTGCAGGCCTCTACCGTCCCTGTGGCATGGCCTTCCACTTTTCCAAGGGGTTCTCCACCATCACAGCAGAGCCTACTCATTCTTGATCCTGCGCCGCCAGCAGCAATGCTTCGCTTGCTCATTTCTGGAGTTGCGCATGAGTTGCGCTTAGTGGGGTTCACTGTCGATACAGTCATTGTACTGGCAGAGGAAATCCCTTGTACTCCATGTTTTGATCCCTCTTGTGTCGATGTGGTTAGGCCTGAAGTGCTTGTGTCTCCCAAGGGTCTTCCTTCTGCTTTAACACAGTTCGGGTTTGGGTCCGCTAGGCATGCATCGCCATCGGCTTCATCCCATTCCTCACCTGGACATGCACTCCTGGAGCTGAGCATTCTGAGGGGGTGGAATTTTCTGATTCCGTCCTCGGGATACTCGTCCGACAAGCTGACGCAAATCCTGATAGGATCCTTGACTTGCCTGCCACATGTCACCTTGTGCTGGTTCGTCCTTGGGTTTGGGTTCCATCTATCCCCCACTTGGGGTCTATCCATCTGATCATTTGGGATCTTCTCCCCTTTCCAGCCTGCTGGAAGGTTGACCACATACTGTGGCCTGCCCAAGCCTGTGGCTGTTAAGCTGCTTGGGCTCGCTCCTTGAGGTAAATACACCCGAGTTCTATTGCCTGTTGAATCAACTTCCAACACTCAGGAGTCGCCCACATGAGGACTTGGTGGGTGAGGTTCTTTATTGATTGACTAGTCCTGGTCAATGCGAAGGCGGAAATCCTGTTCTATGCTGTGCTGGGTCTGAGATTGGTGACAAAGATCGTCCTGTGATTCGGTTTGAGTTTCCTGGGTACGCAATAAAAGGGATATATTGTTCATAGTAGTACCTACATGCAAGGTATCAACATTAAATTTTGTAATAGGATGCATACCGTTTGAAATATAAGTCCTGGTCGACCGAGGGGAATCACCTAGTCCTCGGTCGACTCTTCTTTTACCTCCTCTACCTTTGTTGTAGTGGGGGTCTCCTCCTGTTCAGCCTCTTCAATTAAGGCCCTCAGGCGCTGTGTAAATGGTGTTGTCCGTTTCGTGAAGGGCATGGATTTCAGTTTCTTCACGCTGTGCCATTTGGACTTGTCAGTCGGGCATTTGTTATCCCTGCTGAGGTGTCCCGTATTACCACATCAGAAGCATCGCCTCTCTTTCTTGAGACAGTCGATGTCCATGGGTTCACCTTCGCCCCCATAGGTGGTCCCAGTAGCATCCTTTTTATTGCTCCTGCCTCCCCCCGAGGTACTGGTTCATCCGAGGGGTCCTGATTTGTACCCCTTAGTCCCCGGGGGATGCCTCCCATGTTCGGCTACTCCTACTCGAAAGTTCTTATCCTTACAGCTAACTCTGTCCTTCCATTCGTAGTAGCCTTGGGGCCAACAATTGTCGCTCCCCATGATAATTTCCTTGACACAAGGTCGAATGGCTAGCTTTACCACTTCCTCCATTTGGTCCGCATTCTGAAATCGTTCCGCTTTGATTGCCAATTCTTCGAACTTGTTGAAGAATTCTATGGCCGTTTTGAACTGCGACTGTTGCAGCTTCTTCCATTCAATTCGTCGGATCTCAATTTCTGCTACTTCTCAGAATCGCCTCCGTACTTCATCTTCAAAGGTTACCCATGTGGGGTATCGATGATGAAGGTCATGGGTGTCCCAATACTTTCATTGTTGGTCCACCCACCACTGTTTAGCGTTCCCTTTGAATATGGACACCGCAAATACCACCCGACTGGGGCCGTATCCTTGTGTCTCATCGAGGGAGAAGTACTTCGAAAAGACTTCAAAGTAAGCATAACAGTCAGAGAAGAATTGGTCGAGATCATGAGATTTTCCATAGAACACATCTGGCTTTTCTATAAGTGTGGGTTTTATGTCTGCCCATGGGTTTGGTTGTCCTGCAGTGATCGTGAAGCTATCCAGCGGATCAGGTGGCAGTGGTGGATTTGTAGGGCAAGGAAGTGATCGGAGGTTTTGATTACTGTGGGGCATAGGTGGAGCTGCCGGAGGGGGTGGTGCTCCACCACCGCCACTGCCTCCTCCTCCTCTGGGCCCTCCACCTCCTCCTCCCGGTGCCACGGGTGCTGGCCCACTTCCTGGGCCTGAGATGGAAGTCATTGTCACACCTCCCATGCTTCGGAGGTGCTGGTCTAGTTGTTTCCCACTGGCAAATAGTCCTTGAGTCCCACTAGGATTCGTAATTGTACCAGCAGTTTGAAGAATTCCTAGGGTGGAGAAATCTAGTTCCAAATTTTCGGAACTGGGGATCTCTTGTATTGGCCCCCCTGGAGTAGCTGTCGGTCAGGGTGTAGAATATTCCATTAGTTTATCGCAGCATACTGGGTTTTGTGCAATAGAATGTCCCTTTCTAATAGGGAACCAGGCTCAGCCCGTTGATAGGCTTGCCCTTGTGGGGTGGTGGACCAGTACGTTTCGAGGGGCAGACTATCATGTATGTGCCACCAGAACTGGTCCCAATTCATCCTATAGAGTTCTTCAGCGGTTGGGACCGGTACTAGATCCTTGAATGAACTTGTTGCCTTCATCGTTGAAGGGGGGTTCATTTGCGTATTCTCCCACACGGGTGAGCCTGTCGATTTGTATCCTGGCTCTAACCCACGAGTCCAATCAGTCTGTATGATTGGTTGGGTGGAAGACGGGTTCATATTGTAAGAGATAGGGATTTCCGTCGATCCATATCTGATTCCAGTTCCAGACATATGCGAAGTATCTTCGATATTCTTCGAAGATGAGATCGAAGTCCTCTCTCTCGTAGACCCACCACTGAAGCTCCCTTTGTGATACAAAGGGTGGCTCGACCTTGAAGGTGGGTTCTGGGTGAAGGAAGGGTTCGAGGTCTGGGTGAGGCCTAACTTCGTTATATCGGGCTCGGGCCAGATCCTGTAGTCACTGGCAGATTCTGCACTGGCAATGGGGCCAGTCGTTGTGGTCTGCCTGATTGAGCTCTTCCTCAACAGGGTTTGGAACGTCGGTGGTCCCAGCGAGGGAGTGTGCTCCTGTGAACCACCAGATAATGGTGTCGTCCTTGGGCCCTCCGTCTGCAAAGAAGACTCTGCGCTCTGGCTGCGGGGACTCGGTCTGGGGGTGCTCGCCCCATGGGTCATCGTCGTAATAGTAAGGGGTTTCAGCCCCTGCAGGTCTTGGGAGTGTGAGTGGGATAGGGTTCTCTTCCTCAGTAACGGTGTTGAGGGTTCCCCCGATTGATGAAGTGGATCAGACTGGTGAGATTCGTGCAGTCACGGCGTCTGCGAGGTGTCTGAGGTCTGCGATAGTGATAATTTCTCTGGCTGGGGCACGACGTTCCTCTTCTGCCCATTCTGCGAGCTCTCTGGGGTCAGGTTGGATTGGAGGGTCTGGAACGTATCGACTTGAGCCAGGGATCGGCGACGAATAATGTCATGGAGTGTCGATCCCATAGACTTGTTGGGTTCTGTCTGCTGAGTACCAGAATAGCCAGCTAGAGGCGCTGGTCGGGGACCCAGGGCCTGGGATTCTTGGCTCTGGGGAATCCCCCATCGTATCCCTAGACTCGCCTTCTATTGTTGTGCCTCTTCCAGCCATGAAGGGTTCTCCCCAGGGTCTCTCGCTGTGCTCGTCTGTCGATCGGGCACTTCCAGGGTCTGAACTATCTGGGCCACTGCTGCTGCTTCCCACATCGCACCTGGCATTTGGTCGGACCCACTCTCCTTCAATTGCCTCTGGTGCTGTACTTCCAAGGCGTATTTCATGGCCTCTGTCTGTGAGGATTCTTCCTCTAGCGACATCAATGTAGATCCTTCAGGCTTCTCATATGTGTAGCTGCTCTCTGAGATTGTTGCTGTCATCGTTTGGAGGGACGCTGAGTCATCCGAGGTTTTTTTCATGAAGGAGAGTCCCAATTTCTTCACCCCTGCTGTCATTTTGCCCTTCCATGTTTTGCTGTGAAGGGATACCATCATCCTCTGAGGTGAGGTCTTCGAGGCTGGGTACAGGCATTCGAAGCCTTTCCCCTGAGGGCTGTGGCATGCTTGGGTGGAGTCTGATGGGAGTGAGGTGTCCTGTTGAGGATTCATTAGAGCCTGTTACTCGCTCGCTCAGGAGGGTCAGTGCTCTTTGTCGGGTTCGTTCTAGCTCATAAGCATATAGGAGTACAGTCGATTCTAAGGTGACTGCAAAGGCTTCTTGGTCTTCGGGGTTCATACAGTCACCATCATTGAATAACAATGAAAGTACTAGTCACGATTAACAGTATGACCACCGTTATCGTGGAGAGTCATAACAGGAAAATGTAGATCAACAGTGTAATAACTGGATCAATGGTGAGGGTATGCCAAGCAAGCTTTGGCTAATTGTAACGCACTAACTTGAATTGAACAACGTTTGCCTCTAAACTGTCACTTGCGTTCGGTGATTCAGTTGTGAAGAGGGCATTGCAATCGCTAGGTCAGAAACGATAGTCCTTAGATTGGAAGCAGGGAGTTTCTGCATGAAAAGTTAGGAGTGTATAACTTTAGCCGAAGCTGGGGTGTAAGACCACAGCGAGGCTCATTTAAATACATTGTGGTATTTACTAGTATGTACTGCTCCTGCATCTCGATGCACAGTGTCCCAATGCATTGCTGTCTTCTGGTTGTATGTGATTTGGTATAGGAGAAGCTCTCCTGTGAGTAAGAAGGCAGGCATCCGTATGGCGCTTGATATGGTAGAAGCGTGTCTGCGAGTCAGAGGGATGGTGCTATCCTCGGATGAGCATACGTGGCAGCTTATCCATCCTAGGATGTGATCAGAGTCATCCTAAAGAAGCGTGACTGGGTAAAGGAGGGTTGGGCCCATAGTCATATGATCAGATCTATGGGCCATCAAACAGATCATGCGTGTAAGTGGTGGATCATGCATGTGATCAATTGGGTCATGAATGGTGTGGATCAGGTACAAGGAATGATGACAAGAGTCAAATGATGAGTTGATGAGATAAGATAAGATAAGCAAAAAATAGGGGTGAATTCATGACATTGTGAAAAGCTTGGAGTTCTGATGGAAAAGCAGGGAAGATTACCTCAGGTAAGCCATGCATCATTCAGTTCCTTATTATCACTAAGACTGCATCATCAGTCCTGATGAGAGAAGAGCCACACATGTAGGGGTCCAAAGGTAGATCTTTAATAGTGAAGCTGCAGAGAAGGCTGTTGATTGGGATTGCTAGGGGTCCAGCTGGCATAGTATCCCAATTTGTAGCTAGCATGAGGTCATTTGAAATGGGGTAACTGGAGAAGTCACCTGATACTCATGTGTTGTTCTTGTCTGATTCTGATTCCACATCATGCCAATCCTCGACCAGAGAGTCTGCTCTTGTCTTCTTTGATTCTCATTCCTCGCTGCTTTTGTCATTGAATACAATATGAAGATCTCTTTGTCTGTCCTCAATTGTTTGCTCCAGGGAACACTTGCTCTGGTTCCTTTCAGATAGTCCAGGTTTCAAGTGGTGCCTTAAATTCTGCTCCTCATAGCTCATGTCTTCCCTCAACAAATTTTCCAGCAAGGGAAGCTTGTTCACTGGATTGGTTGAAGAAGCCAGTGGGTCTTGTACTGCTTCCATCAAGACATCCCACAACATTTTGTTGCTAGAATCTAGGTCCAAGAAAGGGCTGGGATATATGGAAAGGAGCTCTTTGATTGGGCTAGGATTGAGGGGATAATTGGCAAGAGGATCCCCTTCTTTATCAGATTTGGGAGCATTAAGGAACAAGTATAACTCTCAAGCTTGATCCCTCATTACTATGTGGCCCTCTCTCATTGCCTTTTCTTCAATGACATTGGTGATAGACTTTAAACAGAAAAGTTGAATGGTTTTTCCTCACTCCACTGACCCAGATACAATGGTGTGATTGTACATGTGCTGATATGCCATAGCTTTTAAGTGGCTGATTTTCCTGAAGGCCCATCTGATGAAATCCTGGATCAAAAACTTATTCTTGCTTTTATTGAGGAAAGTATTCTGAACCTTGCTGTGGTCCACAGGATGAGCTCCATCAAGTAAGCAGTCATACACTCTCAAGTTCCCCACTTCATCCTGCAGGCTATATACCTCATTAGCATTCTGTCTTCTCCCACAAGTCAACAAGTTTTGTGATACACCTCTATCACCACTGGGTTAAAATGCTATAGTTGGGATTTAGTCTGTATTCCTCTCATTAGCTGGTAATACACACCGAGGCCTTTTCTCAAGTAGAACAGCATGTTTAAAAGAAGGAGCATGGATGTTAGGTCAAACTAGCAGCCCCTTCACTAACTGGTTGTTGATGAAGAGAGTGGTCTCCAGAGGGAGGAAATAATGCCACAAGGAATAGCAGCTTGTGTATCATACAAGGAACACCCTATACTCACCAGCAATAAACTTAGTGAATGCTCCCAATAACTCCACCTCCATTCTATTCACATATGATCTAAACAGACACTCTGTCATTATCATGGAGGGTACAGGATGTCTGAGAGAAAATAGTCGATGGAATCATATTATCACGATGCACTCCCACATCTTTTCAATGTTGACTTTTGCCTCCTCAGCCTATTGTCTAGGTAAATACTAAAACTCCTCTTTCTGGATAGTTCCTACATTGTGCTTGAAGTCTCAGAACCATGCACTGTGAATGTTCTGAGGATTGAAGAAGTTGTGTTATGGTATATGGTAGTTGAACATTTTGAGAAGGATTACTGCTGACATATTGACCAAAGAGATTCTGGATGTCAAGGATGAGTCCTCTGGTTGAGAAAGGAACCTGTGGTGGCAGAATGGAGCTGTGAAAGGGTTGGTCATCATGCTCATACCATACCAGATCTCATCTTAGCATTGAAAGTGTTGGGCTTTAATGATGTAGCTATCTCTTCCAATCCTGTTAGGATCATGCCAATAGGAATGTAGCAGAGATTGCATGTAGTGAAAGCCACAGAATGTGTAAGGCATAAGCAAAGCTATTAGCAATGTCACCTCTGAGCTGAAGCCCTAAGATGAATATGGATGGAAGTCTGTGGAGTGACAATGTTGCCAGGCATGCATTCCACCAGAATTCTGGTCTTGAATGAGTTGGAGTTGATTAAGATGCCAGTAGAAGAGAAAGATCAGCAAGGTAAAAAAGAGGACAAGGTGGATGAAGAGGAGGAAGATGTAGTGATGGGAGATTTGGTACCTGCAGATGCTTAAGCCTCTTTGGACTTCAATATTTTTTGGATTTTTTGTACATGGATTTTGATAGCATGGGGCCCAATAGGCAATAACATATATCTTAGTTTGTATACTTGAGTGAGTGAGAGGAAAGTAAGGGAAATCAAAAAATAGGCATCTGATGGGTCTTATTTCCAATTAGGAAGGTAATTTGCAATAGTTTTTCAGGATTTGATTTGAAATTCGAGAGGCAGAAACTGTAGGGAGCTGATAAGTTAAGAATAGGTCAAGAAGTAATGGGTGAGAGTTTGAGGGAGATTTTGTAGATGGTGAAGGGTGTTAGTTTCCACCAGTTTGAGTTGGGAAACATGGAATACAGAATGAATGGAATGAAGGTCTGACAGGAGTTTGAGAGTGAAGGAATGGGATGTGGACTGGGCAATGATGTTGAATGGTCTTAGGAATTTTTCAGCAAATTTTGCAGTATGGCAAGTAGTTCTGATATGTTTGAAGCTGAAGTAAACCTTGTCACCTACTTTGAAGTTAAAAGCTGGAGATCATCGCTTATCTGCTTCGAATTTGTAACAAGACTAAACATGAGTGATCTCATCATGAAGAAATTGGTGAAGATCATCAAGGTTAGCAATGAAGTCATTGGCCTGGGTGGAGGTGATATCATGTTCAGGATGCACAGTAACATTGGGATGGTAGCCTTTGTTAGCGAAGAATGGAGAGATTCTGGTAGAGGTGTTAGGAGCATTGTTGTAGGCAAACTCTGCAATGGGTAGTAAGATATCTCAATTGTCTTGTTAGTAGGAGCAGTAGATGTGAATATACTATTCCAGAGTTTGATTAGCATATTCAGTTTGTCCATCAGCCTCTAGATGGTATCCAGAAGTGAAGTGAAGTTCCATATCTAAGGCTTTAGCAAGGGTGCATGTAAACTGGGAGACAAATTCAGAGCTGTGAGCAGAGGTTATATGATTGGGAACCTCATGCTTAGTGAACACATGGGTGACAAATAACTGGGCAAGCTCCTCAGAGTTGTTGGTATCATGGGTAGGAATGAAAATTGCTTGCTTACTTGTGCAGTCAACAACCACAAGGATAGTGGTGAATCTGTTAGAATCCGGTAATTGTTTAATGAAGTCTATGAAAATGAAATCCCACAGGTATTCCAGAACTAGCAAAGGTTTGAGTAAGCCAAATGGATAGTGTCTAGGTGCTTTGTTACATCCACAGGTAGTGTAAGATTTAATGTAGTGGCAAATGTATTCACACATCTGTGGCCAGATGTAATTTCATTGGACAAGTTTAAGAGTCTGATTTTGGCTGAAATAACCTGCCAAGATGTGGTCGTGATTGTTTTGGAGGATACAAAGATGAAGATCATTGGAGTCCAGGACATAGATGTGACTGTCAAGATGTAGTAGTTCTGATTCATTCACAGACCAACAAGATGAATTGAAGAGAGAGAATGTGAGTCAAAGGCCTTTAATGGCAGTGGAGTCTGATGGCTGTGTGTTCTTGATATCAGAATGGAGCTTGTCAATATCCATGATAGTGCTAGCATGTAAGGCAGGGCCTTCAAGGAATGTAGCACAGAGAGAAATGAAGAGTTGTTTTGAGTGAAAACAGGTTGGAATTTGTGAGGGTTGACTTGAGCATATTGACTATCTCCCTCTTTAGAGTAAACATCCTATCATCTAGTAGGGCATTCAGTTTCCCACCAAGTTTATCCAGTCAGAACTGAATCACAAGGTTGAATTAGGACAGGAATTTGAACTAGCACACTTGATGTCGAGTAAGAACCTTAGTAGTAGAGAAGTATTCAAGGTTCTTATAGTTGGTAACAATGTCAATAGCTTTCATAGAGCTTTAAGGTAATAACACCAATATTTGAAAGCTTCAAAAATAGCTAGAAGCTTTTTATTATGTGTGTCATAGTTGAGTTCAGTGCGGTGGAAACTCCAGGACAAGAAGGAGATTGGATGAATCTCACCATCATTGAGATAGATGGATAAGATGGTGGTAATAGCACAGTTAGAAGTGTCAGTTTCCATGACCAATTGGTGATCAGGAAGCCAGTGGGTAAGGATAGATGCATGAGTAAAAGCCTACTTTAACTCATTGAAAATGGATAGGCAGTTGTTGTCAAATTTCCATAGAGTACCCTTGCAAGTGAGTTATGTTAAGGGTAGGATGATCTCACTGTACTTGTGAATAAAACGGCAATAGAAATTAGCGAAACCAAAGATACCTGTGGTAGTTAGGATTTGTCTCAGGCCAAGGAGTTAGCCAGACTCCTTCCCATTCTCCTTCATGGGGGGTAAAAGCTGCTTCGCAGCTGTGGGGTATCACATCGTATCTTATCTTATCAATACATGTGACCTTCATAAATTTCTTGAACCTTATTTTTTTTTACCCCCCATTACAGAGACTGGCATCTTTTGCGGTGGTGCATTGCGCATGTTTGGCTGAAGCCTCCCTTGCTTGCCTCAGAACGCACTACCTCCATCTGCCTCATGGCTGCTATACATCACACGATGCCTGAAAAGGATGAAGAAGTCCAGGCAAGGGTCGAAGCCATGTTCAGATGCAGCCCCTGTCTATGGCAGATTAAGGTAGCTCGAAGTGTTCTTGCTGGCAAAGACGTTATAACTGTAGCTCCAACTGGTGCTGGAAAGTCTTTAACATATTGGATCCCACTGGCTTTCACAGACAAGGGCATAGTGATGGTCGTACTTCCTTTAAAACAGCTCGGAATACAATTCTCATCTTCACTCAACTCGAAAGGGCTGTCTGCTATCTCAGTGACTGCTGAAAACACAAGCAAGGACTTATATTCTGTATGTAACTAATTTTTACATCTGTTTTCAGTGTTTAATTTATGATATGAAGGACATGAAGAATGGAAAGTACCGTGTCATAATGTTCAGTCCAGAAATCATCGAGCAAGACTCTCATTTCGATGCGTTGATCAAGAACAAGAAGTTCATCAACCACTTGATCAACGTCGTCTTTGACGAGGCCCATTGTATCAAAGAGTGGGGTAGTACTTTCCATAACTCCTACCAGAAACTCGGTCATCTTCGCCATCTCATGTCATGGCGAGTTCCTTACCACCTGGGTACTGCGACACTAGCTCCCTAGTACTGTTGAACTACTTAAAAAAGAACTACGTCTCAATCCTGACACAACAGTCTTGTGGTTGAACACAGACCGTCCGAATATCTTCTTTTGCATGCGACGGATGGAATATCCCATCAACTCATATCATGACCTTGCATTTCTCATTCCCAAGGACCTTGATCCGGATGGTCCTTTGCCTGTTAAATTCTTAGTATTCTTTAACTCACACAAAGAGGCTGAAGAGGGCGCCAAATTTCTTTGGAGCCGACTCCCTCCAAAGCTTAGAGAAAAACTCAAGTGGGTACATTCTGGAATGACCAATGAATTTTGCGAGGATGCCATTCACGCTCTCAAGAACGGGGAAGACATTGGTGAATGTGCTACTGATGCTGTAGGGTTGGTATGTAGTCTACTAAATTTTGGGTCAATAATGTTCTGATCAATGAACAGGGAATTGACATACCAGACGTATATATCATCGTTCAATATCGAGTCCCTGCCAGTATGAGCACCTGGATGCAGCATGCAGGCTGTGCCATTCGTAATCTCTCACTCGACGGTACTGTTATCCTCCTGGCTGAATCATCCATGTTTGACGACACTAAGCTCGAGGCATGAGCCCAAACCAACCAGCGAGATGTCAGACCTTCGACATTGGTTGCTAATAAGGAAAATACAGTGCCGCCTGATCTCGAGCAACTCACAGCCATTCACAATCAGGAATCTGGCTCTCACAAATGCACCTCTTCCCATGTATCAGACGGACATCCCAGTATCAAACGTGCAAGGATAAATGCCGCCAGCTCAGTCACAAAATGGGTGGGGAAAGGATCAGCCCAGAGTACGCGAAAGAAGTCGATGCTGAGAAAATGGCCAGCTGTGAGTGATGAGGCTGTAGCCTTTGATGTTCATGGTATTCCTATCAAGGTGGACCACACGATGGATGATTTTATCAACGCGGTGAACCGACCAGAGAAATGTCGAAGAAGGATTGCTTCTATCCATTTTGGGAATGTGGGGATCGGTGAGCTGGAACCATGGGAAGACTTTTTGATCTCTCTCACACTCCATCAGTGCCCTTTGCCCCAAATTACTGCTGCCCTCGTTGCGCGCCGAGAACTGCTCGGCATTGCTGCGACCTCTGTGAGCCAGAATACTGGCCAGTCATCGTCACGGATCCCTATGAGAATCTCCTTTCATATCAACACCCTTACATCGACCACTTGGAATCAGTAGTGCTCAGAATCAACAACCTCAGCCATCCCCTTCTGCAGCAACTCGTTTGTTCGACCTCACCGTGGCCGATCCGTTGTTGGAACCTGGCATGCCGGCGGGCCATAAGGAGCGCAAACGAAGTCAATGCAGTGCATGCAGTGCTGTGGGACACAATCGTAAGTTGTTGTGTTGAATGCTCGTTCTCCAGCTCATCCTGCCTGCAGGCAAGAATAAGAAATGTTCCTTGTTTGGCAACGAGATTGCTGTTGTTGATGGCGATGCTACTCATGGGGATCTCGACCAACCATCGCTCGTACTTAGTGAGTCATACCACTCCCAAGTCTTCTCCAGTGATCTGACCAGCCTCTCCAGCCTCTCCTGTATTATTATCATCCACAATGTTATAAAGTGTTCTTTTTTTAACTAGCATGCCATATCCCTCGTTAATCGCATCATGGATAACCCAAGACCAGCCTGCCATGGGAGTGCTAGTGCTGCAACCGGCTTTGAAAGCAAACCAATCAAGCGTCGTAAGCTGATCTCGAAGATGTTGCAGTGTCTTGGTCATCTTGGGCTTGCTGTGCTGAACCGTATGGCGCGTCAGGTAGAAGTTTTCCTCGATGGTTTGCTGCATTGATCGGTACACTTGGAGTAGGATGGAGCGTTTGAAGACCAACTCTTTCATACGATTCAGACCCTGCCCCGCAAACACAACCTTTGTGTATAAGTTGTTTAGCTCTTGGAGCCAGTCCATGGCATGGAATCCATCTGGAGTGCCTTTGGGGTTGCACAGCCAGTTTTGAAGGATCACCTCATGCAATCAAGGCGGGTACACATGATTAAGGTCCATGTAAAACTTGATCATGTGTGTTGCATACTTATCTTTGCCTGTAGCTGTGAAGATCGCAATGTAGTATGGGAACAATTCAAGAATACAGCCGACATCACCGTAGTTCATAGCTTGGGCCAGTTCCAGGTAGAGTAAACCATGCTGGTTTCAAAGATGCAGGTTCTCGAAGACAGTATCTCGACGTGTTTTATCCCTCTCATATTCGTCTCCGAAGTCCTGTGAGGGTAAGTAGTTGTCCACTATAGACGTTGACATTGACACAATATCATCCCAGGTTGGATTCAATTGAGCAAAGTCTTCCAAAGTCTGTATGCCTTGCCTCTTTTTGGCTTCGACATGCCAGCATTCCAGTATGTCTGTCCACGTGGCATGGTAGATAATCTCATGCATTGAACGGAAACCAGGTCCGTTTTTTGCTGCAAATTCTGCAGTCGCCTTGGGGCGGAGGTAATTGATATACTCAAACAGCCCTACGGGTTCGTCACGATCTGGTTTGGGTTCCATGTGTATGCGCCAGTAGGCATTGGCGGCTGCCATCTTGAGGTGGAATAATCCCAGCACAAAAACGACGAAGTCTAGGTGATTCTTGGCAGACTTTTCAATGACCTGCATTCTCTGCAGACCCTCATACTGCTCCCTCGTTGCGAGATCACCATGAATGAGCTCTATGAACCGTTTCAGTTCCTCGTCAGTCCAGTCACGTTGCTTCGCCAGATTGACAAAGACCTCCCAGGTACCATCATAGGTGCTCTTGTCTGCATGCATAGCATGTCCTGGGTGATTCGCTGTCTTTCTCACAGGTAATGATTGAACACTGCCTGGCATTCCTAGCTTCGTTTTGAACTTCGCAAACCCCACTCCTCTGAACTCAATCAATATGGAACATACATGCCATGCGAAGGCTTCATATAGTGACTGCATGTCCTTGGTGCTGCTACCTGTGAGAGGTGATGTGGGGAGAATGTCATCGATACGTGGTTTATATATTTGTGGATCATTGGGGGGAACGTGTATGTTGTATTCACTGGTCTCTTGCAGCTCTTCAGTGAACTGCAAATCCTTCGTTCGATCAACATCAATGAAGGGAACAAATGTCGCTGCCGTGGCACTTAAATGGGTTTTCGGGTGATCTGGCATAGGATGCGCAATGGGAAAATCCATGTCAAAGTTGTCGTAAATGTTATTTGAAGGACCCAAGGTTTTTAATTGCTCCTCAGCTTTTTTGGACAATGAATTGACCATCCGTGCAATAGATTTGACAGATATGGATATGCCCATGTGTGCGACTGTCTCCAAGATGATCTCGGGACATTGTTTTGACTCTAGGAAGGAGCCAATGACAGACTGAAATGCATTAAATCTTTGATTTGAGCTATGTCTCAGAACTGAGAGAATCATAACTTGTTTCTGTGTCCATAGGTAAGTAAAGGTTAAATTGTTGAAGGTCTCTCACTGACTGTGAGCAACAGGGCCTTGTGTCATTTCGGGAGATCCTGTCTGCGACGACGTCTGCGTTTGGGCTGCTCGTCATCAGTAGAATCACCAGCGGCAACATTGAGATGAGGCACTACCGTTTCGAGATCAACATCCATACTGAACTGGGATGAACTCTCCCATTGGATGTCTGGCTGGTCGAGTTCCATGGATATCACAGATAAAGTGTCGTTCTCATCAGATGCTTCACGTGGTATGTCCCACACATCGAGCTCCTGCAGATCAAGGTCATCCCAGATGAATTCATCATCACTATCCGACATGGTTGAGTCTGATGAAGTGTCCTCATTATCCTCCTCGTTTACCTCCCAGTGCCGCCGATTGTCCGAGTTAAGGAGAGCAGCAAGCATCTGCCATGTCAACGGTGCAATGCCTTTCATCTTTGTACCCAACTCTGCCAAGTCAAAGCATTCAAGTTGCTCGAGTGTGGCATGATTAGCCTGGAAGTGAAAACCTTGCTGTCCTTCGATCAGATGCAAAATCTCGGTCTGATATGTATGAACCGTGACTGCTGCCACCCAGTTCCTGATTACATCCTCTTCTTGCTCCAATAGCAGATCTGCAATCTCCCCTGCCCCTTCCCAGAGATTTGCCCGATAGGCATGGAGATTTTGTGCAACATGCCCGAAGCGAAGGACCTGCACCAAGACGTCAAATATCGTTACATTGTTGTGTTCAAGAACACTTATGATCTGATTTAACCAAGGTATGCTGCTTTTTGGTTGCGTGTAGCGTAACATGCTAAAATGTATGCATGGATGGCTCACTTAGAGGATGGTGTGAGACGAGAGCAAAGATTATTTATTCTGAAAATAAAATCAATTACCAGTAGACTACAATGTGTAGCCAACGAGGCAATATCAGGAACAGCAAAAGGCAGCGAGATTGGCACTGGAGGGGAAGCTTCAGCCAAACATGCATAACGTGCCACTGCAAAAGACGCTAGTCTCTGAAATGGAGAGTAAAAAAAAATAAGGTTCAAGAAATTTATGAAAGTCATGTGTATTGATAAGATAAGATAAAAATACATTAGGGTCTCGTCATACTGCGAAGCAGTTTTACCTCCCATTGAGGAGAGTGAGAAGGAGTCTGAGAGTTAACCAGTAAAACTGGTTGAATTCTCAAGGTAATGTGCTTAGTAATTAGCATAAGCACTGCCACATCCTATTTAGGTTAAATGTGCTTTAAAAATCTATTATTAAAATTAATTTCATATTTTATGCTATTTATAAATTCTAATCCAATTTTAAAGGCTCATATCCACTGTTTCTTAAATTTCTGGTTTATTCCTTATTAAGCTGGCCTAATATTAATAGTAAACCTTTAATAAATAATCTATAATGGATTGATGATCTCGTCCCATCAATATCCAGCTAAAAAAGGCTGGATGCATCAAAAGAAAACTGAATGTACTTAAAAATACGCTTTTTCTTAAATTTCTTGCTCATTTCTTGGTGAATTGGGCTAATATTAAAGGAAGAGTCTTCCCATGTATATTCTATAATGTTAGTAATATGATTTCATCCAAATGTGGTCTGAAATAGCTGGATGCCATGAAATTGGGCTGGACATAGTGGTTGTGTAATAATTGATGCCATCAATATCAGTCTATTTTCAGTCACAATATAGATTTGGGCCCATTGAGGCATTCTCTGAGCACTTCATGGGTCAGGAAATAGTATTAGTATATATATAAATATAAATAACATAAAAAGAAACCTTCTAGTGAGGTACAAGAGCTCTGGGAAGTGTATAAAAAGAGTAATATGATGAAATATAGTGAAAATAAGGGTATTTTTTGCTTTTAGAGGGTTCTTCATGCTTGAGGTCAGGAAATTCATTGGTAACATTTTCAAAGCTATTAGAATCTATCAAAAGTGAGTATTTATATATGCTCCTCCTAAACTATCATTTCTGTATTACCATTGTTTTGAAGCTCCATAAGTGGAATAAGAAGTAGTTTGAGGGTATTAAAGATTGAGGAATTTATTGGTAATGTTTTTAAAGTGATCCGATGCATGAAGAACCCTCTAAAAGCAAAAAATACCCTTATTTTCACTATATTTCATCATATTACTCTTTTATACACTTCCCAGAGCTCTTGTACCTCACTAGAAGGTTTCTTTTTATGTTATTTATATTTATATATATACTAATACTATTTCCTGACCCATGAAGTGCTCAGAGAATGCCTCAATGGGCCCAAATCTATATTGTGACTGAAAATAGACTGATATTGATGGCATCAATTATTACACAGCCACTATGTCCAGCCCAATTTCATGGCATCCAGCTATTTCAGACCACATTTGGATGAAATCATATTACTAACATTATAGAATATACATGGGAAGACTCTTCCTTTAATATTAGCCCAATTCACCAAGAAATGAGCAAGAAATTTAAGAAAAAGCGCATTTTTAAGTACATTCAGTTTTCTTTTGATGCATCCAGCCTTTTTTAGCTGGATATTGATGGGACGAGATCATCAATCCATTATAGATTATTTATTAAAGGTTTACTATTAATATTAGGCCAGCTTAATAAGGAATAAACCAGAAATTTAAGAAACAGTGGATATGAGCCTTTAAAATTGGATTAGAATCTATAAATAGCATAAAATATGAGATTAATTCTAATAATAGATTTTTAATTGGTGCCTCAGGACACGTATCTGCTTCACAGCGCATATTCAGGCCTCTACTAAGGACCTTCCTTTCTCTATGTGAGCATGAGACTTGCTACTTTGGCAGCCTACTGAGGTCTCAGATGATGATAGATTGTCTCACTACTATGATATAACCCTGATGGAGGTGACAAGACCTCTTAACTCTCTCGCCATCTTGCCAGATACACTAAGTTCTACTTCCTTTGGTCTCATACTGAACTCTCTCGTCATCATGCTAGAACTTGAAGTATTTTATGTACCCACCCTATGTCTTTGTACCATTGTCTCCTGTATTGTATGTAGTCCCACCCAGTGCTCACACACGAAAGTGCACGGGTTGTAATTTTAGGCTCAAATGAGCAAATGATCAGCTAGCGAGTGGATCTTGACAAGCCTCAAATACCAATTAGAGCACATTTAGCCTAAATGAGATGTGGCAGTGCCTATGCTGATTACCAAGCACATTACCTTGAGAATTCAACCAGTTTTACTGACTAGCTCCTATGGTCAAAGACTAAAATCTACAGCCAGGGCTCCCAAGGAAGAATTGAATATCCTTGACCTTTCATGGAACTGGCCAGTCAGTAATAGCTTTGACCTTGTCTTTGAACACATGTAAGCCTTCAGGTGACTTTGTGGAATATTTTGGTTACATCTTTTCCTGATGAAACTCACACTTTGAACCTCTGCAGTAGAGGCCATTAGCTCAAATGTGTAGAACTTCACCTATATGTTTTCAGTGCTCCTCAGGATTGTCAGAGTAGATAAGAATGTCATCAAGGTATATAACAATGGATACATCAAGCATATTGGAAAAGATGTCATTGACAATGCATTAGAAAGCTGCAGGAGCATTGGTGAGTTCAAATAGCATAACATGTCATTTGAAAGAGCTGTAGCAGGTCTGAAATGCAGTTTTCCATTCATCACCCTCAGCTATGCAGACAAGGTGATAGACACGATGAAGGTCTAGCTTGATGTAAAGACAAGCGGAACACATGGAGTCAAGAAGGTCAGAGATTAAGGGCAAAGGATAGTGATCTTTTTTGGTGATTTTATTAAGTCTATGATAATCTACACAGAGTCTAAGTTCACCAGCTTTCTTCTTGACAAACAGTACCAGAGCTCCATGTGGAGAGCAGGAAGGAGTGATGAAACCATTATGGACATTATTGTCTATAAACTCACATAAGACTTTTAGTTCAGATTTGGAAAAGAAATAAATGGGACTGAGTGGAGGAGTAGAACCTTCCTCAATATTGATCTTGAGGTCATAAGGGCAATGCTAGGAGAGTTTTTCAGAAAGAGAGTCACTGAATACATCAGTGAATTCATGGTACTCCAGTGAGACATCGGTCACATTGGTGGGAGCCATGGAGCTAGCCATGCCACTTACACTAGGCATAGAAGGCTGCAATGTGAACTTGCTGAGCCTATTTTTCTGCACAAGCTCAGATAAAAGCAGCAGCCAAAGTAATAGATATCTTGGGGGCAGCTAAAGCATCAAAGGAAGAAATGGTAAGGTAGGAATAGATAGGCTCATAAGGCAGCAGAGCCTATTGGAATCTCGATTTTGGAGTGGGAGATGAGGATTGGGATGATTGGATTGAACTGGAAGGGTCTGAGCAGACTGGCACATGTGTGTCAGCAGCTGCGGAAGTGTTTGAAAAAGAAACAACTGATAATAGTGAACAGAAAGTGATACTGTGCTTTACCTAGTCCATCAATGGATTGTAGTAGGAAAGCCAGTTGTATCTCAAAACAATGTTACAAGATGAATCTAAATGAGTGATGTAGAAGTCAATAAGAAGGATATCTCCAGATGGAAAGTGAATGGGGAGAGAAATGGATTGAGAGATGTATACAACAGAGCTGTCAAGAAGCCAAAGTTGAACAGGAGGAATGGATTTGGTAGGGAGATTGTGATACTCAATGTACTTCAAATCAATGAAGCAGTGGCTAAAGCCAGAATCAATGAGAGCAAGAAAACAAAGGATAATAGAAATGAGTGAGCCGTTGGGCTCTGATCTGGAGCCAACATCAGAGGAGAAGGGGACAGTTAGAGAATGGTTAGAAAGAGTGGCAGCATTGAGGGTTACGATCTCCAGTGCACAATGACAGTCAATGCAATCCTGTCCTAGTGCAGAGGATACAGGGTTGCTCTTTAGTTTTCTGATTCCAACAGAACTAGTTCAATAGAGACAGTGGACTCAGGAGTGGAAGAAACAGCAGCAGCATGGCCATGAGCAAAGGCCACAGCTTTGTGCTTGTTGCAATCTTCAGTTTTGTGCTTACCTCTACAGAACATACAGAGGTTGTTCTTCTGACGGTGGTCTTTTTCTTCTTAAGTAAGACAGCCATCCTTGCCTAGCTTGTTAGCATAAGGCTTGGGGTTGGAAGATGAAGGAGAGTTGGAGGAAGATAAAGGTGATCCCATGGAGCCTAAATTAGAGGATTTTTGGCCCACGGAGTTGAAGTTGGAAGGTGAAGAGTTAGAACCCTTCAACTTGTTGCCATTGTTGTTGGAGGAGGGATTACTGCAATTTTCTCAGGTGATTTCAGCCTTCCAAGTCCAGTAGCAAGTATCAAGCTCCTGAGCAAGATTACACATATCACGAAGGTTATCAGGCTTTCCATGGTGAGCCATATCATCTTTGATGTGGGAGTAAAGATCACAGTAGAAAGTGTGATGAAGAGAGTTGTCACCATAGCTGATAATGGCAACCTTCACCTTATCTGATCAGAATGCATTGGGACAGTCATTGAAGTTCAACTGGAGGGAAACAATGAAAGCTTTGAGTTTTTGGGAGTCTGAACCATTGAAGGTATCTGGTTCCTTGACCTTCATGCATACAGCATGCTGACGGTTGCCATTGACAGCATCGGAATCTCCGCAGAGGACATTCATGAGTTGGATGAGAATCTGAGCATCGTTATTAGGGGGGTTAGGATTGTTACCAGGGTTATTGTTAGGACCACCTCCAGAGCCACTGTGTCCATCAGGGTATTATGACCTTACCCCTTAAACCCCAGCTTTGGCTAAGGTTATACACTCCTAACTCTTACAAGCTC